ACACATTCTTCTCAAGTGCATATGGAACATTTTCCAGAATAGACCACATACTAGGCCATAAAAAGAGCCTCAGTAAATTCAAAAAGATTGAAATTCCACCAACCAACTTTTCAGACCACAAAGGTATAAAACTAGAAATTAATTGTACAAAGAAAACAAAAAGGCTCACAAACACACGGAGGCCTAACAACATGCTCTTAAATAATCAATGGATCAATGACCAAATTAAAATAGAGATCAAGCAATATATGGAGACAAATAACAACAACAGCACAAAGCCCCAACTTCTGTGGGATGCAGTGAAGGCAGTTCTAAAAGGGAAGTATATAGTAATCCAGGCCTATTTAAAGAAGGAAGAACAATCCCAAATGAATACTCTAAAGTCACAATTATTGAGATTGGAAAAAGAAGAACAAATGAGGCCCAAAGTCAGCAGAAGGAGGGACATATTAAAAATCAGAGATGAAAAATTAGAGAAGCTGCTTACCAATGATCTTCCAGAAATTTATTATCTCGGCCATGGAAGACATGACTAGTATGCATAGCCATTATGAAAACACCCAATGCTTATTTTCCTGTGGAGGAGAAGAATGTCAGAAAAGAGAAGTGTAAATGCATCTATATTTGCTCAACTTCTTCAACTTATCATTCAGTAAATATTTACTGAATACATGCTAGGTATCAGGCTTTGTGCTAGATGCTAAAGATACAACAGTGACAAGATAACAAAGGTTTCTCACCTTCGGCACTTTGCCATTTTGGACAGGGTAAGTCTGTGCTGTGGGGCCGTCCTGTCCTGGGAACTGCAGGATGTTCAGCAGCCTCCTGGCCTCTGCCCACTTGATGCCAGCAGCAGCCCTGCCCCAACTTGTGACAACCAAAAATGTCTCTAGACCTGTCCTAATGTCTCCTTGCAGGAACAATCATTCCCAGATAAGAACCCCTGAGCTAGACACCTGTCCTTGCAGAGCTTCCATTCTAGAGGGGGAGACTGATGTTAAAAATTAAATATAGTAATTATAGATTGTAGAAAATGCTAAGAAAGTAGTAAACATGATGGTATGATAGCAAGTAATCAGGAAAGGGATCTACTTTGCATGGCTAAGGTGGTCCTTGAAGGTGACTTGAACTTAAGACCTTGAAGGATAGCAAGAAGGTGGCCGTGTTAAAAGTGTGTGAAGGCTGCACTAGGCAGAGAGGATGGCAAGTGATGGTAATGATCTCAAGAAGGGGGAGGGGAGAGGAAAAATAGTGAGATGAGGCTGAGCTCTTTGAGAACTGCATCTGCACTCAAAGGGCTGAGTCCCTGTAGCCCACTCCTCACAGCTCATTTCATCAGTGGTAGACAGGTACAAGGTGGATCAATCAGATCCTCTCTCTGGAATTTGGAAGTAAGAGCTGTGGGGCCACCATGAGCATTTGGTGAAAAAGACTGTCTTCAGAGGAAAGTGGAATGAATGCTCATTCCCTGCCTTGCTTTCCCTGGGCTATTCTCTCCTGGCTTCCTCCTCCCTCTCTGCTGCCCCTTTCGATCTCCTTTGCAGGCTAAACCTCCTCTGTGTGAGCATTTTAAGTCAGTTCCTTGAGGCTAAATCATGCATACTCTTTAATTTCTCCTCTTTTCTTAGGCAAACTTATCCTTGTCCATGGCCTCAATGACCACGTATATATCAATGAGACCCAGTTGTATGTCAAAAGCCTAGACCTCTCACTCTGACTCCAGACCTCTGTGTATTCACTAACATTAGATATTTCCATCTGGAGTAGCTCAAACTCAACATGTTCAAGATTGAATGTATATGCCTTACAAACCTATCCTATTCTCATTGTTCTCTAGCTTAGAAAAAAGAGCCACTATCCATCCACTTCTGAGTCAGAAACCTAGGAATTATTCTGGACACCTCATTCCACATATCCTTTCTATCACCTGACATTGTTCATTTAACCTATCTCAAATCTCTCCACTTATCTGTCTCCACTGACATTCCTCATGTCCAAGCTATCATCTTCTGTGCCATAGGCAAATGCAGCAGACCCTGACTGGCCCCCTACACTTCTCTCTGAAGCCACAGTGATCTATTGAAAACACAAACCCAATGTCAGGTCCCCCTTCTCCCTCCTGCTTAACACTGTTCAAACTTAACACTTTCTTTCTAGGATGCAGACTGAGATCCTTCTGCAGGTCTGGCTGTTGCCCACCTACCTCTCCTGCTTTCCCACTGCTCTCTGTGTGTCCCAACCCCTTTCCCTTGGAGGAATGCTACACAGTTCCTTTAACCATGGGGCCATTTCATGTACTGTCTTTACTCTGGAACATCCCTTCTCCTCCCATTCATCCTTGACATTTCAATTCAAATGTCACTTCCACAGGAGTCTTCCCACCATCCTGCTCTACTTCAGGTTCTTTTGTGTTATGTAAACTTTCATAGAACTGTGTTCCTTTTGGCAGCATACTTAATTTAGAATCATACATTCATTAGTGTGATTTTTTAAAACTGGGGTCTCTTTCCCATTAGACTGTAAGTTACATGAAAGCAGGGACTGCTGACAATATCTTAATAGGTGGGGAGGTGAAGGGGGGGAAGGAGTTTGAGAAAATGCTTTGGTTCTTGAATTTCTAATTACTGATCCCAGGTACTTGTGAGAACTGACTACCTTTTCTGCTCTTGGGTTCCATGAGATGTCCCTATTCCTTATAACTCCTTATTTTTTTTTGGATCAGCTAGCTCATATAGCTTTCTCTTACTTGCAACCAAAAAATATTGGCTGACACACAGCAAGAAACTCTAAATGGAGTTGTAGCATGAACATTAGAGTGTGTTCTTTTGAAACCATTAAATAGGCTAATGGTTGACAACTTGCTTTTCTCTTTTGGGTCTTTAATCTTTTACTCAGAGGATGCTGTTATCTGGGAAGAACCAGGTTAATGTGGCAATGTCTTAAAAGACAACTGGTTTTACTTCAGTATGCTTTGCTGGGAGACTCAAGTAGCAGAGACTGTTGAAATACAAATGCCTCTAGAATGTTAGACACCCCACCATATTTCAGTTCCCTTTTTCAGAGAGTGATTAATGAACTTAATGAATTCAGAGGCCTGCAGGACTGGATTCTGAGATGACCTTAGTGGGGTGATGGAGGATGATTTGGACAGCCTAAAACTAACAAAGCAGAGTGGTAGGCTAGAAAGAGCAGTGGACTTTTGGGTTCCTTTTCTGCAGAATGGAACGGGGGTAATAGTAACTTCCCTGCCAAGTGGATCAAATGAAGCTGAGAATGTAAAAAAGCTTTGCAAAATAGAACATACTATAAAAATGTAGAATACCATTAAAAATGTGCTGCATCTTTAAGCACTTTGGCATATGACACTTAAGCAATTGTTCATTCCGTGAACATTTAAGAGTGTCTGGCAGGTGCCAGAGAAAGCTGGTACTGGGGAGGCTGAGCTGAAGGGCACAGGACACAACTCTAACCCTCAGGCATTTGCTCAAATGAAACCTCATTAGAGGGGTCTTCTTTGATTACTCCATTTCAAACAGTAACCCCTCCACCCTGATTTGTTTTCTCCCTAGCACATTTTGTCATCTGATATTCCACATGTTTACTTATTTACTTCCTGGCTGTCTCTCCTTCTTTCTCCCCGACCCATCTACCCATTAGCAGTAAGATCTGTGAGGGTAGGGACTTAGCTATGTTCACTACTAGAATCCTTTTGATCACTGCCTAGAACATAGCAGCTGCTCAAAAAACATTTGTTGAATGAATGTACTCAGAGCAGATTAAGGGTTTAGACAAAGGTGAGTCGCATTACCCTGGAGAGTGGTCACAGATGGGGAAGAGTCATGCAAACCAGGAGAGAAGTAGAAGCCCTGATGAGTGGATAAAAGAAAACCTTCAGCATTTCCTGGTTTGTTAACCACTGGATCTAGGATTCTCTAAATATCCAGGATAAAGTCATTCCCAGGGTTTGCATTTTTAAGTGCCAAATAAGCTCTAGTCTTGCCCCCATCCAGTCCATTTTACATCTGCTGCCAGGATGGTTTTCTGATATGCAGAGTTTTTCATATGGCTCCCTGTCTGTAACCCTGCCATGGCTCTTCAAGGCCACCGCTAATCAAGTCGAACCTTCACAAGGTTATCATTCCATCAGGATCTGTTCCTACCTCTCCTTGTCTTCCAGCCTTCTATGTTGCCCCACAACCCCTACTTACACACACCTTGCTATTTCACACCCTTCTTTGCACAGGCTGGACCTACTTCTAGAAATGCCCCTTGCCCTTTCTATTTGACAAAGAAACCTAGTAACTCTTCCCTGAAACCCATTTGCTACTCCCAACCCCCACGAAGGAAATTATGTCCTCCTCTTACTGCCCCCTGGCTGTCTCACACCAAGTTGACATGGTCTTTCTCCAGAACAGCCCCTTTACTTCCTTGTCTACTGTTGAACCCCCAGCACCTGGCACAATGCCTGGCATGTAGGGAGCAGAAACTTAAGACCCCAGGCTCCCTAAATCTTTCTCATCCAGTCCAGAGCTTAGTGTCTGGGCCTCTCCAACCTTCTCTTACCACCTAGTCAACTCTTGGGACACCCTTACCTGCATTTCTGCATTTACTTGTCCATCTTTGGGAGAAGGATCTCTGGTCATCCCAGGATTGTGCTTTTCCTGGTTTCCACTTCTAGTTCCTCCAAACTCCTCCAAGCAACTTAACAGTGGAGCTTGCACTGCTGGGAAGTGTTAGCTGGTCTCCCGGGTAACGGACTGCACCACTGCAGCTTGAGGCAGGGATAGAGAAAAACCTTCTTTACCCCAGGGAAGAAATTACCATTTTGTTGTTGAGTACAACCTCTCCCTGGGCACTCTGCTTTTTTCCACCCCACAGAAGCTTGCAAGCTGGATCTGGACCTCTTTTCTAATTTCAGAGCCTCTGGGTCAGCAGAAAACGATGGTTTAGACCAGTAGAGCCCTGGTGCCTGCTGCCTTCCTGGTAGAACTGAAGAAAGATAGCAGAGCGTCTGCGACGTGTGAATGGCAGTAACCTTCTCTTCCTCCTGATTCCCTGGGGTCCTCCAAACACACTCCATGAGAGAGGTGTGGCAGTCCGTTAATCCCTGCCAGGTCCAGACCTACCCAAAGCTGTACTACAGCAGCAGGGTCAGGGACCTCTTAGCATCAGAAAAGATCACCTACTGCAGTGGTTCCCAAACCCAGGTGCCTATTAGAATCCTCTGGGCTATTTGCTAGGAAAACATACATACATTCTCATCTGGGAGTTTGATGCAGAACTGTGGCAAAGTGTGGGAACATGAATCTTCAGTAATGGCTCCAGGTGATTATGATGTAACCAGCCTTTGGTCCATAGTTGGGGGCCTCTTCAACTTCTTTTACGCAAAGTTGAGAGACAAAGTGATGTACCCAGTGTCAACCAGCTTGTAAGTGGCTAAGGGAGCTGCAGTTAATCTTATCCAGGTCATTCCTCAACATGTGTTCACTTTCTGAACTTTTAATTTTATAATTTAGAACATGCACTGCTTGTGGGTAATCATAGTATGGTAGAGAACCCCTTCAGATGTTGACCCCAGCAGTGGCTTCTACAGGCCAGATGAGAAACAAAACCCCTCAAAATAGAAAGTGCTTCCCTACCACTAGTCACTCTGGGTAGAATAGTCATGGACTGAGAACAGCATGTGTAGATCCAGGGCCTTTGGTCAACACCAACAAGCCAGGAGAGGAGGAGGATCAGAAAGAGGGAAGGAAGTTGAACACAAGAGTCACAAGAGGCTGACAGCAACCGACCAATGGCTACTCTGAATAAGAGGTGAGGGTCTTTGTGCCCATTTTATTGTAAATCCTGGGTAGAAGAGCCTGGCTGGCTTTGATGCACCATTTTTGGAGACATGGAGGCCAAAAACAATTTACCACCCTTACAACTTCCTTTGCTCCTGGATACATGGATTTTCAATGTGTTGTAAGAGGTAAAACCCAACACTGAAGTTATTGTTACTGCTTAATGAATTTTCTACTTAAATTTACATGACACACATACTCTGAATATATTTGTGCCAGCCATATAAAGCAGGTAAGATTTTCAGGCCTTATGAACAAGAGGAAAGCTACGTGTGGGTACCAACTTTCTCAGCTCTCCTCAGACTGTATGCAGCTTGTATTGAATGTCTTTCTTTTACCTTAGGTTTTTGGGACCTGATCAGTGTCAACTCCTCCATGGTCTGTATTTAGGATCTTTTACCTGGTCCCATTACCCAAAATATATTTGCTATGGTCTGAATGTTTTGTCCCCCCACCCCAAAGTTCTCACATTGGAAACCTTCCCCCTAAAGTGATGTTATTAGCAGATGGGGCCTTTGTAAGGTAACTGGGTTGCAAGGTAAACCTCTCACGAATGGGATTAGTGCCTTTATGAAAATGGCCGACAAAGCTTCCTAGCCTCTTCCACATGGGAGGATATAGGAAGTCTACAACCCAGAAGACAGCCCTTACCTAACTATGCTGACACCCTGATCTTGAACTTTCAGCCTCCAGAACTGGGAGAAATAACTTTTCTTAAAACGATGTTGCAGTTAACATTGTTTTACATCTTTGTGCACTGAGATTTTATTTCTGTAAGATAGACACAAAAGTAAAATGTATTACATCATGAAGACAATTAATGACTCTATAACATATATAGAGGGGGTGAGGACTTGATAATATGGGCAAATGCTGAAACCACTGTGTTGTTTACGTGAAACTATCATAAGATTGTGTATCAATGACACTTCAATAAAAAAGAAGGAAAATGTATGAATCTAGGGACTTTAAAAGACCCTAAAAACAAAGTTTCTTCTTAAGTTCACAGCAAGCTCATTTGCTGGTAAAACTTGAACTGGCATGAACCTAGTCAGTCTTTCTTTATTACACTTAATGTGAATATTTAGGCATTTTGTGATTATAGAATGCTGCCTCAGTCTCTGATGAGGATGATACATAATATATGGTGTAAGTACCTCCAAGAGGTACTTGTTTTTTAAATCTGAAAAAAATTGAGTTCCAAAGCTCTTAATTTATTGACAAATACTATGTGATATGTCATATTTAGTCCCTGTAGTCCTCATTTGTTGGAATAAGCAGTGTGGTGGCTTTAATGATTTTGTTTTCAGCATCTAAAACACCTTTTTGTTCACTAAAAAAGATATAATTGACACATAATAGTCTAAGGTGTACAACACATAAGGAAAATGATCACCACCATCAGTCTAGTTAACATCTCATTAAATTTATTTTTCATAAGCCACCTACTCTGTGGTATTTTGTTAGAAGCAGTTCAAACAGACTAAGACTGTATTACTATGTGATATATTGGTATTAGCTTGTATTTTGCTTTATTTCAAGCCAGTTAGCAGGTGTTTTTTGTTAGGTAGAGGAGCCTGAAGTCAACAGTGTTTTATGTGTAAAAGCCTAAGCTAACTGAAAGATTAAATGACATGCCAAAGCACGGAAGGTGAGGGAGGTATTTAAGTCAAGATGAAAGTGGGAGTGTATCAAGATCTTTTGGGTTAAAAGAGACAGAAACCAACTCAAAACGGCTTAAGAAAAGAGGGAATTTATTTGCTCAAATAACAGAAAAATCCAGCGATAGTTCTGCCTTGAGGCATGGCTTGATCCAAAGGCGAAAATGATGTTAACAGAAAGCTGTCTCCATTTCTCAGCTTCCTTTCTTCCTGATGGCTTTATTCTTAGGCAGGCTCTTCACGAGTGGCTGGCAAACTGGGACACCAGCAGCACTAAGTTTTCCCCCTAGATGTTGGGGAAGAAAGAGCATCTCTTTCCCAGGAGTTCCAGCAAAGTCCCAGGCATGGCTTGGTTACATGACATGTTCATTCTTGAAACAATCACTATGACTTTTGATTTGCCAGACCCAGCTTCTTCTGTGTCCAGTCCTGGAGCCAGTGGGTGCAATCAGCCCCATGAAAAGAGGTGGGGTTTTTAAATTTCTAAGCAAAGAAGAGGACATGGGTACAAGGCAAACATGCCTCTGATGGAAGCCAAAGGAGAGAAGGTAGTCCCCAAAGGTCAAGATACCAGAGATCAGAAAATCAGAGGGAAAAGGGACCTGCTCAGTGTTTGGTAGCAACACTTTGAGATGGCATGACCTAAGAGGAGAGTACTCGGTGTATTCAGGGAGAAGGTCCACAAGCATAGGGGTTTCCAGTTCACCAAAGCTGAACATGCTTCAAGCATGGGATGGACACAGAACTACTGTACCATTCAGCCTGGGACAGTTGATGTCTCAGCAGTAGTAAGTGTAGACAGATGGCAAACGACTAGAGGGGACTTCTCATGTGTGAGCCATGGACCTCTGCACAACCCTAAGGTAGCCCAATAACCAACAGATTTCCTATCAAGGCAGAAGGGATCTAGGTGATTGCTTTTCTTTTCTTTTTTTAAAAAGTGTTAAAGGGGGAACAGGGGATAACTTGTTTGGGAAAATTTCCCTGGGTGCTCAATTTCCTATAGGGTCCCAATAAAATCAATGTGTGACATAATCTAGTCACCAAAGAGGTTAGCAGTATAAAATAACATGTAGCGACAACTGCAGAGAGAAAAGTTGACAATGAGAGGGGAATGATGGAACATTAAACACAAACAGTAACATAAACTTTTTTTTTCAACAAAACATATAATATTCACTGGCTGTTTCTAAGTAGGGGCTACCTTTTATAATTGTTTGCATTCCACATGCAGAAGCAGCAAACCATAGATTTAGCTGCTCATGTGTGAGCCAAGGAATCATGCAACTGGGACAAGCTACTTTTATTTCCTTTAGACTAGCCAAATTGGCAACGTGGGACAGCAGAAGTAGTCCTAGATTTGAAGTCAGGGAACTTAGGTCTGAAAACCAGACACACCAATTACTATTTATGGAACCTTGGGAAAATTTTTCACCCTTGTGACCCATAGTTTTCTATTCTACATAAAATACTGTCTCCACTTCTCCTTAGAAGTAGAATGAATTAAGATGACATACGGAAAAACACTTAACATGAATTTAATGTTAGTGACTTTCTCCAAACTCTTATTGAATGCTACTACGTTTTAACCATAGTATTTTTAAATATATGAATTGCCTTAATAGAGTAGCTGATATGCTTCAGTTAGAATGTCAGGTTATTATGGTACTTGGCAGTTTCTATTATCTAAGGACTAAGTTCATAGCAGCATTATTTGTAATAGCAAAAACTTGGAAAAACCTTCTAAACAACTTGGAAATCAACAAGGGAAGAGATACATACACAAATACACACACTATACAGCTATTAAAAATGAGAAAGATCTATATTTACTGACAAAGCTATCCATCATAAATACTCCTTTTTAAGAAAGGAGTAGCAGATATGCATATGATCTTGCTTTTGTTAAAATAACCAAGCAGGCCACACCCATCATATAATATATACATATATGTGTACATGCAATATGTGTATATATATATATATATATAGATAGATAGATAGATAGATAGATAGATAGATAGATAGATACACACACTCTCTCTTTATATGTAAAGACAACAGAATGTAAGAATACCCAAGAAACTATTCATAGCGGTAATCTCTGGTGGATTGTGGGTAGTTTTTTAATTACCTATACTCATAGACAATTTTTTTACAGGTATGTTACTAGGAACAAAAAATACTTTTGTCCCACTTAGGGTCATTATTCTCCATAATACCACTTA